AAAAATGTTAACCAAAAAAATTGACCACAAAATCCGGTATTTATTTTGAACCTAATACAAATCATGATGATAAAAGTTGCGAACACCACTGGGCACCAATGGGTTATAACAAACTCAATGCCCTTTTATATGCGTCCCAGACGTTGCGACTGACCCTGGGTCGTTGAGGTTGCTCCAGCTTAATTTGCACTAACCATTTAACCCAGAATAGGTCTGACGGGCACCGCAGGCTCTGTAGGCCCGTCAGTACGTAACTATGCAATCGGATCATGGTTGATCAGGCATTACTTCATGTCTTAATAACACATGCATTTATGGTGGAAAAACATGGAGTAGATGGCAGTCCGAAGGCCCCAAAACCCTCGTGGTTGTATTGAACACACGGTTACACTATGGGGTACTCAACACTAGTCGGGACGGGGAATGGTTAGGGCTATTTGGGTGGGGAGGGTATGGGATGGCTATAATGTAATTAAGACATCTATTGCATTATGGCTAGTGTTAGGGCCAGTGTCTAAGACCCCCCTTCGGACTGTCAACCCCTCCCAACAGTCGTCGTCATCATCACTGACTCCAATATCCCTTTTCCCGAATGCAAGCGTTTGATAAGTTCTTGTATTTTTAGGGCCAATACTCTCACTATGTTGGGAGTATTGGTCCGCAACTCATCACTTAAAACCACCGCCACATCTCTGGTCACTCATGATTTACAGCCCGATGTTTGGCCACTCAAAGAGTGCTGATATGGAAGAGAGATAATAATAATTTGTTGAAGAAAAGTGCATTTAAATGGTACTATCGTTTGACTGACCGGTCGAGCGCGGTATATACCACGCTGCTCCCGTAATATAAAACATGGTGGAAGACATTATTCAAAAAGCTGGTCACTCTACTCTCCATTCTACCCTGATGTTCATGGTTTAAGCATCAAACGCACATGATGTTTATTCATTATGAATGATTGGTAGCCTAAAGACATAGAGTGAATGGCGGATAAAGATACCAAGATATTGCTGATGGCGTGATCACAGGTGACTGGACACTGGTTGGTGGGAATGCAAGCGTATTGATTGTTCTTGTATTATCTGATGGCCATTCNGCCTAAAGACATAGAGTGAATGGCGGATAAAGATACCAAGATATTGCTGATGGCGTGATCACAGGTGACTGGACACTGGTTGGTGGGAATGCAAGCGTATTGATTGTTCTTGTATTATCTGATGGCCATTCACTCAAGAGGTAGTGTTTTGGATCAGATGGGCTGCGCTGTTGACGCTGAAGAGGTTGACTGCAAGCGGATAAAGTTTGATGTTCTTGTATATTATAATTTAAAACTTATTAAAGCATAATGTCCAATGATTATACTAACTATCATGGTGATTTATTTCATATAAATCCATATTGGTAGATTATGAGGGCATTATGTAAATGATTTTAATATTTCTATAGTTATTCAGTTATAAAAGTAAGTTTTGAAAATTATTTAATTAAATAATTTAGTTACAGATTAATTAAAATTGATTTTTAGCAATGTTTATGATTTGTTGTAATGAAATGTGAAAATTAATGTAAAATTTGTTCAAAATTTATTATTCAAAACCTAATAAAGAGATCATTATTTTACAAATGCTTACAAAGAAGTGATTATTTTTTCCTAAAAAACAATTTATATAATTAATAAACATGAAAATAAAGTTAAATCAAAACAAAATAACAAATTATTAAAAAAAACTAATTTTATAAAAAAAAATTAACGCAAGAAATAAAAACATATTCAATAAAATATTTTCCACCAAATCTTAAATAACAAAATTCAAAGACAATTATCTCATAACTTAAACCTCCGGACACTATAGACAATGGCGGCGAAGACCACAACACTGATGAAGACGTTAAAGACAATCAAATAGATGAAGAGGTCGGGCATTGTCTCGATGTGCAAACCCAACACATAGGGCAGCAAAACATTGATACTATCGGTGCTAAACAGCAAAAAGCCCGCAACCTTGTCGTCGACCTCCATATGCTGTTTAATGAGACTATAAATGGCCGCATAAATGGGCGAAAAGCCAAAGCCGGCGGACAGGCAGCCGACCCATACCAGCGCGATATACTGCTGGCCAAATATAATGATAGACATGGCTATAAAAATGATACAAAAGTGACTTTGGATCAGTCGCTGCGGCTTCACTTTGATGGCGACCAATGCGCTGATCCCGCGGCCAATGGTATAGCATAGGGCCGACGCCGACGCTATTTCGGCCGCTTTCTTAGCCGACAGTTTCAATGGTATGTACTGTAAGTAAGTGGAGATGAACTCCAGGTATAGAATTTCGGTCGACATATAGAACGCTAAGAATATTCCGTTCAAAATCACGAATATTATCACCGAATTTCTCGACTTCTTGGCCGCCGAAGAGCTGGTCTTGTCGTTGCTGTCAATGTCTTCGTATGTGTCCCGCGGGGGTAAATACTCGTATTTTTCTATTATCAACATTATTGCCAATAGAAGTGCGCCTGGAAAACAATAATCATCATGTTTAGTTTAAACTTTTAACCAACATTATTTTTAAATCATTGGTTATACCTATGATTGTGATAATACCGCTGATATAATAGGGTATTTTGATTTGACTGCGCCGGTCGACAACCGTAAGCACCGTAGCGTTGATATCGTCGGCGGCGATGTGTCCGGTGAGGAATGGCTTATCGATGAGCGGACCGATGATAATGCCTATACCGTAGGCGAAGCCAGACATTTGGAGTATAGGTCCGCACTGTTGTTGCCACATCTCGATGAGCCACACGTTGTTACCGATGTCAGTCACGCCGGCGCCGAAGAAGCTGATCCACACCAACAGATACAGCTGCCAGAGTTGGCTCGAGTACGGCATGAATAGGTACGCCATTCCCGATATGGTTAACAGCATTATGAATGATATTTGACGGTTAATGTATTTATAGAAAAAGCTAACTGTGGCGGGAGAGAAAGTATTATGGTTAAAGGGTTTAGCGGGTTTGTTTCAAATTAATTAGGGTGATTTATTTTGTGTGTTATACATATGAAGCCAAACATGTGGCCGCTATTCATGATGATCGCCATTAGCGATATGTTATTCATGGATGTGTTCATTATGTATTTAAAGTCGACAAATGTTGGTCCGATCACAGCCAATGAGATACCCTTTGTATTAAGGTTGTGTGAACATGGTAATAATTAAAATATATCCGTTTATCGAGATGAATATACTTACAAATGTCATGTGAACCCAGTATATGATGAGAGTATAAGTTATTTTAGACCATTTTGAGATTTGAATTTGATTTTTGTTAACATCTGTACGTATAGTACTCTCAACCGACATGTTTTTGTCGGCTGTCTGTCCCCTCTCTGACCAATCCTTTTGCCGATACATTAAAAATTGTTATTTAAAATTTTAACTAGTTAGTTATTTTCTATATATTCACACAAAGTATTAGAGTATACATTAACACGTTTTTAAACGATTAAGTTAATAGTTTTCAAAGTTAATGTTAATTAAAAATAAAAGTATTAATGAAACTGAAAATTATAAGCTCAGGAACACTTGCTGTGAAAAAATAAAACTTTATCCGTTAGGTTAAGCGATATATAATATACTGATATACCAGACATTATAACACAAACTTTAATTGACTAAAAAAGTAATTTTCAATAAAAAAAAGTTTTAAAATTTATAGAGATTTTCATCGATATCATTGAGGATCTCGTGATTTCGCAACTGATAAACACATTCATCAAAATTGTTTAATTGATTTAAATATAAATGTAATGTTTGTTATCGGATATCAAGGATTAACGGGAATTGTATGGCTAAACAAAAACGACACACAAGTTTTAATCAAAACCCAATAACACCCGGACTATTGTGGCACTGGTATTGATAATTAGGTTAAACGCGATTCCTATTGTTTTATTATAATTAACAAAACATATTAATTGTTGTAAATATTGGAGATGTACTTCAAAAATGATGTGTTGTTTTGTCTCAATATATTTCCAGTATTTTCCAGTTTAAGGGAAAGTTTTTGTTGTTGTTTTTAATATAAATTAATGTTTGAGTAAAACATTGAAATACAGTAATTGACAATTACTAATTGCTTTTGTATTAATATTTGTAATTTATTATCACTAATGTACATGTATATAATTAAAATATCAAGTAAATTCAATTATAAACTAAATTAAATTATTTACTTACAATGGATTTTGTCGATCACATTATGAATGCAATCCAAAAGTGGGAAACAGTTTTTATTCTCGCACTCAACGAAACTTATGAAATGAAAACTGATTTTTTACTTTCATAATTTTGTGCTCAAATTAATTTTATATTTAATTTAATTATTTCATAAAAACATTCAAAAAGTCGCAAAAATGAACACTTTTTTGTTACTAATAATCCTATTAATACTTAAAGCAACCACAATATGAGTCATTTAATATGCAGACTAAATAAAAGCCATGAATTAGTAAAAAAAATCATAACATTTAGTATTTAACTCATGCTTTAAAATGAACAAATAGTTGTAATAGTCATTATTGTTAACTGATTTTTTACTTTCATAATTTTGTGCTCAAATTAATTTTATATTTAATTTAATTATTTCATAAAAACATTCAAAAAGTCGCAAAAATGAACACTTTTTTGTTACTAATAATCCTATTAATACTATATTTTTTAATTCAATATTTATTTAACACAACAAAAACACCTGAAAAATAGTTATTACGTGTCAGCTGTACTATACATACAATTACAGTATTAGCCATGTTAATAAACAATTAGCTATTTTCTAATTATAATTATATAGTATTTAGTTTATATATGTATAAAATATTTGAAATGAGATTGAATTGATATAAAGTGCATAAATATCAACAAAAAATAATGTTTATATAAGTATTACCTTTAATTATACGGTAAATGTTTTAACATTTCTGACAGTGTTATCAATGATAAAAACAAATTTAATTCATATAATATGTTAGCGATTAGATTGAGATTGAATTTGAAAGCATAATGAAAGTGTAAATTATAGAAAGGCTATAATTAAGGAGAAGGGTTGGCACGACCTTAAGTTATAATAAGTGATGTTTCGGCGGATTTGATTTTGTCTACTATAGTGAGTGTTCAATACATCAGTTAGAAACAAGTCCAGCCTATACTTGTAATAAACATTACATAAACTTACTAGTTAGAATAATTCCTATCATATTTAAAACAATATGCAATAAAACAAAACTTCAAATCAATGCTTTAGATATAAGTGTTTGAGTTTTTGGTGATATCTTTGCGTTTCAGTCAAAACATATTCAATCGCTTTGATGTGAAGACAAATGTTATTAAATATTAGGAATATTATATAAATGTTCAATAAAAGTGAAATATTTATTTAAATATTTTACATTCTCAAACTTATCCACAGACTTAACATTAGTCATGTTAAAATATAGCCATTGATTTAAGCTGTAATCCCATGTTAAATGCCATAGGGAGGGTGCCGGGATGGGGAGGGGTGATGGGGCAGAACGATCCTATAAATCACATTATTTATAGCTGAATTGTGGTTAAAAATTATTTTATTAAATAACCAAAGTATACAAAATAAACTAATTATTGAAATTTATTTTTGCTGTAAGTTGTGATATAAAATCTATCAATTTAAAATCTAATTAAATGTTAATTGTAGCATTAAATTTATTAGTTACTTTTATAGACAATATGTTAATTAAGCTAAAAAAATTAACACCTTGATCATACAGTGCAATTAAAGCAAATTAGATAATATACCATAATAGTTTACTAAAAATGCTATTAATTAACTGTAAGAATATAAGCCAACGATTGTTTTTAGGCCCGAAGAGCTCCGCCGTCGACAGGCATTAGAAGTCCGGTAATGAATGAGGCGGTGATCGGAGAGCACAGGAACGCCACGGCTTCGGCCACGTCCTCGGCTTCACCCATACGTCTCAATGGATAGCACTCTCGGCAGTGCTTTTCATAAGATGTCAACAATTTCTTATTCCCGGTCGCCGTCTCAAAGATTGGGGTCCGTATGGCTCCCGGACTATACAGTTGTATACATTCATATAAATGTAAGGTATAAATTTGTTATAAATTTTGTAATAAAAATTTTGTTATAAATCTTATATATTTTGTTATAAATATAATTATAACTGTTTTATAAGAAATTTGTCAATACCAATGGTCAACCCATTTGAGCATATTATTGCAATATTACAGGAATCCCCTTTCTCTCTCCTCTCTCTCTCTCTCTCTCTCTCTC